GGGTGTGGGTGTGGGTGTGGGTGTGGGTGTGGGTGTGGGTGTGGGTGGGTGTAGCTGTGGATAAGTGTGGCTCTCAATAAGGCGAAGATTAGCACCCACACTCACCACAATCACACCCATCCACACCGACACCCGCAGCAACACCCGCAGCCGCATCAACATCCATACCCACATCCACACTAACCTCCACACTCACACTCATACCCACACTCTCGATGGTCTACTTACAATTGACTTGCTTCATACTTTAATGACATAACTAATGATGTCTTTACTCTATTACAACGGGAAAAAAATCCGCACAATGCATGGGAAAGACAAAGATGATCGCGAATCACGACGTACATTTTGGCTTGCCGACATGATAGAAGCATGTACTGTGCTAAAAAAAACATCTCGTTCAATGGTGAAAACATTTTTTCAAATGGTTTATTAACATCCTCTCTCTGTATCACTTTTACCTTCGGATTACCGAATTGGTACCGGAATCTCGAAAGACAGAATTTTGAAAAGCAAAATATCGAGAGTGTAAAATCTCGAGGATAAAACCTCGCACACGAAACATTTCGATGCTGATCACTAGCTGTTTGTTCATTTTATCACACATATTTCTGTTTTCGCTCGCTTCCTCTTCTTCTATACTGATGTGGAGTTCCATTTCATCTTCCTGTTCGCTTTTTGCATTCTGCTCGAACTAACGTCTGTCATTTGTTTGTTATGTCACTTTCATACACGACTGTCGAACATACTCACCCACTCGTCACCTTTATCTCTCACAATCACTCTCATCTTCATGTAAGATATTCATCGTAGCATATCACAGTGAATGTGAAAGAAGGACAAAGGATGAATGTCTTAAATTTAGTCGTATTTTATACTAATTCTACAGTAGATTTCTGGTTCTCGAATATATGCATCATAGTCTGTGAGGAGGAAGCGACAATGCCAGAATGTTTATCACGGTCTTATGACCAAAAGAGGCGTCGTTAAGGTGACCGTCACGGTCTGTGACGTTTTCATAGAAATGTCTATCATAGTCTGCGAATGGCGAAGGGCAAAAATTTCTACCCCTATATGCTTCAATACTTGTTTAGGTCGTGTTTCACAAAATCCATAAAGAATAATCACTTGTTGAAAGAATACCGTTTGACAGTTTATATTCCGACTCTTAATAATAAAAATGTCTCTTGATTGTCTAAAGACACACAAAACAGAATCTTTTCTAAGAACTAACACATATAGGTGTTGTGTGTTACAATTAAAGTTTTTTTTATCTCCATGGAGAAACTCAGCCATGTTTATTGTCGTTTGTTCTTCTCCTTACAAAATTTCAGCGCTAAAAAGCATAAAACTCCAGAACTCATTAGAAATACAAAGAGAATACCTATGTTAGTTCTCAAACTAAAATTTTCACCATCTTTAATTTGATAATACTTCGACAAGGCATCACGACCACTAAATGTTGTCCTATTTGAAGAAGTATGATCACATAATTTAGTCAGACAAATTTCATTTTCACACTGGAAATGTAGATTGCTACTGAAACAAATCTGAAGACTCGCATCGTATGCGTACTTGATAAAAGATAAATATTTAACCCACGAAATCCATGACGGTATATTTTTTACATAGAAACCGCCGAATAATTCTGTTACAGACAGAAGTAGTAATTCAGCTCGTATTGCTTGCATTGGATTATGAACTATAGAACACACAACGAGGCATAGTACTTGTGAGATAACAGTGGCTAGTAGTTGAACGAATAAAAAACTGAGATAGTTTAGAAAATATGGATTAAGATTGTACACCCAGTAAGTGATAGTTAAATGGATAAATGGTATAGTTAAGAGTACTGGTATTTCGGCCAATAATTTACCGAAAAAATAGGCTGATAGACGATAGAGACCATTTTCTTGTTGCTCTCTTTTAATGAGTTTACGTTCAATTGGAAACTTAGATACTGTAGCCATTGACACTTCGAGAGACCATAATGACAAAGTGTAGAACATGTAAGAAGAACGATCTCCTAAGGTTGATTCTCGAAATGATGCACGAAACCAACAGAGGCTAGTAAACAAGGTTATAAATAGGACGTAAAATAGATATGCACGATCAAATTGTTCTTGAATGATTAATTTTAAAGAGCGACTATATAGTATTGTAAACTGTTGAAGAAAACTACTTTGGTGCAAGTTTACAGTGCTGTGGATAAGCAATGAGTCTTCCTCATTCTCAAAATGATCCTCTTCTTGTTTAGAAGTGATAGTGGTTTTGACATATTCTTCGACTAGACGATTTCTTATCAGACCATTGCTCTCCCTAACTAAATCAATCACATAATCGGCTGGATTGAAGTGAGCAGGACATTGATAACCAAATGATGCGAAATATGGCACAGCACTCTGTGGTTCCTTCTGAAAGAAAATGTAAGATTATTTTATCTCTTTTCAGACTGAATCAGTCTCTTTTAGCTTCATACCATAAAAACTATTGCGCCTTGGGAGATAAGCATAACTTTATCAAATGTTTGAAATATCTGTGAAGAAGGCTGATGAATTGAAAGAATAACTGTCTTTCTCTGTTCATCAGCTAAGTTTCTTAATAATTGAATCAACGATGTGGCTAAAGCACTGTCGAGACCGGTTGTAGGTTCTAAAGAAGAAAGAATGATTTAGACCTATATTTATCGAAGTTGAAAAATAAAGTAACCATCTAACACCAAAACCGATGGATTTGTTAACAATGCCATTGCAATACTAAGACGTTTCTTTTCACCATTACTAATTAAATATATTGGCAAGGTCATACACATGTGTAAATTTAATTTTTCAACCAGTAATTCCAAATGTTTTTCATTTAAGTGCCAAGGTAATTTTAGTCTTGCAACGAAGACCAGTTGTTCTCGTACAGTTAATGTATCAAAGAATTCATCATCCTGCACGACATAGGCAATTTTCTCTTTCATTGTACTGTGATTGTAAGACTGGTTGTTGAACAGAATTTTACCAGTGACACCGAGAGCCGAATGATTAGTGAGTGTGTCCAATAGAGTTGTTTTGCCGCTACCTTGTAGATGAGAAAAAAAACAGGAAATTAAAGAAATTATCACTCTCTCCGCCGAAAATGCAACGCTTCTTGAATCATTCAATCTCTTGAAATATATAGCTACCATACTACTGAAACAAAATCATCATCATAGTTTTTTGTTAGATTACGAACCTGATACTCCCATTATAGCTAATATCTCTCCAGGATGAACAATGCCACTAATATTATCAAGTAACACTCGTTTATTAGCTGCTGTTGTCTTTGGCCAATTTGAATCATCATTGTCGTGACTGTCGTCTGCAGTTAGAACTTTTGTTAAATTATGAAATGCTAAAGATATACGTTCTGTTGAAAGATTATGCAGAGTTTCTTCTTCTTTTTCTTCGTTATTCTCGTGGTCGTAGTGCAAAGGAAGATATTGGTAATGTACGCGTTGTAGTGAAGTTCGAAAATAAGATCTTAATCTCTTCTTAAGAGTATTCATTCTCTTACAGCATTGTTTTGAGAGTTTTTTATATGATTTTGTACGACCGTTATCATCACTTGATAATATTTCCGGTTTCAACAAATCTGAATATTGAAATTCATTATGATGCATTGCTTCCTTCTAAAATTTTAAAAACAGTTAGTTATTGAGTGATTCTCACTCATCGTTTATCGATCTCTACTTTTTTTTCTCTCGCTCTGAATGATTCTAAGTATGAAAATTGTTTTGTTGTCATAGTATTCTTTTCTTTCTTATTCATCACACACAACAAACATTACATGTATTTTAATATACCACTGTAAATAACTACAAGTATAAAATACAAATATATTCAGTACGTTTAAAAAACGTACGCACAATCTTTTTAAACGACTTCTTTCTGAAAGAAGTGCAAGTATGAAGTCATTTCTCTTCAATTAAGATGAGAGAATTTTTCGAAAAAATTTTCTTCCACTGTCACCTCGTTTTTGTTACATCGGAAAACATGCTGCATTCGTTTACCAAAGTTAGCGAGAAGTCATACTTTTTTGTATCATCACTAAGCAGAGATACACAAGGCAGATGCTTTTCTAAATAGTCAGTTAAATCAAATTATTTTTCCGCAGATCGTTTTTGTTACTGAGATGTTTACAGTTTTTCAGTTTTGAATTAAGTTTTTAACTGTGAAATTAATAGTCGAATGAAACTTTCAGAAGAGCATCTACTTTTATCACAGCAACAATCGAAAAATACTTGACTTGATTTTTAAAAATGACTTAGCTCAAGTAATAAGTCACGCTTTTCATAGAGTAAGGCATGTCAAACAAGACTTGACTTGTCCATCTTCGTCATTAAATGGTTTCATGTTGTTTTAAATATGAGAGTTTTCAGAATACTATAAAATATAAGGTTTCTTTCTCTCTCAGAGAGAAAATATTCAGTGAAGTCTTTTTTCCCAAAATATATAGGTATCAATAAGACTAATTATATGTAGAGGTGTAAGTTGATTGACTGGGCTGCCATCGATGGCCACAAAATTCTTAAGATATTTTTCGTTGCGACACAAAATAGATATTTGAATTTGAATATGTTTGACACTCAGGTTTAATTTTCGAAGATATTCTAATCTACTTTCCTATCAGTAAGGGCTCTGTCATTGTTTTCTCTATGTTCCCTCTCGAAATTTCTTGGCAGTGAGAAAATTTTTGAAAAAAAAACGTCGAAAACTTTCAGCCGTCACCGCCAATCAATGCATCGGTGGAAACCTTCCACTGTATAATGTTCCAACGGTTTTGAGTGGCCGGAATTTCACCAGTAAGACCTTCGCCAACGGTACATTCGCCAATGACGAACATACAGGGTGTGTGCCGCCAAAAGTGCAGTGCACTTTCGTTAATTAATGAAATTCCACAAGGGGAGAGTTGGCGAAAATAGAATGGATTTTTCCCAGTTGTTAAAAAACGATATTACTATGAGATATATATGAGAGCTGAATAGGAAGTGTCACCATCTACTTTTTGGAAGATGACTTTATAGTATTAGCTGCTTTTTTGCTCCTACAGCGGCAGAATAAATAAATTAGTTGATCATATAGATCTTGATCTGCTCTACATCTTTTGTTTTAGAAAGGCGATAGAAAGGCGACTATAAGTTTCACAATGATTTTTGATTGCAGAATGGGATATGTGCAGATTTGTAGAGAAACATTTTCTCTATCCAATATATATAAAGCATGTTCCAGAAGTTCTGAAACGAGTTTAAAATTCGTTGTTCTCGCATTTAACAAAAGCAAGTTCTTTGAAACTTTGGCGTATTATTGCACATGCTTGGTATTACACAATCATAAAGTTTGATGTTCATAGCTTTTATTATGAGTGAGAACGTGTAACAACATGGTCATGTACTGTTTTTTCGATTTTCTCAGTTATTACTGGGTGGCTTATAAAGAATTGCACTCTGAGTATTTTCGAAATTTCTCTTCTATTCTTGAGTTGTGTAAAACATTCTTTTTTTTATCAAAAGATAATGCTTTGAAATTCTGCACAAAATACTACGTAAGTGAAGTTGGCCCCCGATTCGAGGAAATCCTGCCCCGATTTGCTTAGGAACTGGTTTCAAAGCTCCTATCTTTGTTTCAGGTACAACTCGATGAGCTCTATCGAATAATATAATCAGATTTTTTATAAGCCAAACTATGTGGTGAAAAAGTCCAAAATAGTGACTTTTTACTCTATGAGCCATGGATCCCGTACCATAGATCCTGCCCCGATTCGCTCAAGAGCTTGTTCCAAAACTCCTATTCTTATTACAAGTACAACTTGATGAGCTCTACCAAATGGTATAATTAGATTTTTTATAACTCAAATAATGTGGCCAAAAAGTCTAAAATACTGACTTTTACCCTATGTTCTATGAACCTTCTACCGCAGATCCTGCCCCGATTCGCTCAGGAATTTGTTCCAAAGCTCCTATTCTTGTTCCAAGCACAACTCGACGAGCTCCGTCTAATGATGTAATTGGAGTTTGGATAGCCTAAACTATATTGGATAAAAGTCCAAAATATTGCTTTTTTATTATAGGAGCCATAGACCCATTTCCGTAGATCTTGCCCAGATTCGCTCTGGAACTTGTACAAAGGCTCTTATTCTTGTTCCAAGTAGAACTGAATGAGCTCTGTCCGATACTATAATTTGATTCTCTATACCTCAAAATATGTGATGAAAAAGTCCAAAATACCGGTTTTTTACTCTAACACTTACAGAACCATTTCAATAGATCCTGCCCTGATTTGTTCATGAACTTGTTTCAAAGCTGTTATTCTTGTTCCAAGTAGAACTCAACGAGCTCTATCCAATGGTATGCTCAAGTCTTCCATAACTCAAAGTATGATTTTTTAGATTCTCCCTAGGGCCATCTATCACCCGAAAAATCATACTTCGAGCTATGATAGATCTGAGCATACAACTGGATAGAGCTCGTCGAGTTCTACTTGGAACAAGAATAGCAGCTTTGAAACAAGTTCCAGAGCGAATCGGGGCAAGATCTACGGAAATGGGTTCTATAGTGAAAAACCCAGTTTTTCGGACATTCTGACTATGTAGTTTGCGCTATCAAAAATCCAATTATACCACTGAACAGAGCTCATCGAGTTCTACTTGGAACAAGAATAAGAGCTTTGGAACAAGTTCCAGAGCGAATCGGGGCAAGATCTACGGAAATGGGTTCTATAGTGAAAAACCCAGTTTTTCGGACATTTTGACTATGTAGTTTGCGCTATCAAAAATCCAATTATACCACTGAACAGAGCTCATCGAGTTCTACTTGGAACAAGAATAAGAGCTTTGGAACAAGTTCCTGAGCGGATCGGGGTAGGATTTCCTCAAATCGGGGGCCAACTTCATTTATGTCAAAATAGTACACTTACGTCAATGTGTATAATATGCTCCAGTTTGCTGGATGAAGCATAAATGTATAATGAAAGCATGTGCAAAATGTAAAGTTTGTTATTCAGATTTTCTCAGATAACATTTGTTTGATGTTTCAACTCATATTTTCATCTAGTTTATTTCCTAAGAGGAAAGATAATGGTGGGATGAACGAGTAATAACATCCATATGGAATGACTTGAATGAAATTATGCATTAGAACCTCATAAAAATAAAAGACAACAGTCATAAACGAATAACAACATTCGCTGACAAACCATGAAAAAGAAAAAGTTTTACATTTTGCACTGGAGATGCAACGATGACGGCGCACCCAATACTGTCCACCATTCACTGATCGATACAGTGCATCAGTCAACGGTGCATCGGTGTTACGGTGGCACTGGGGTACGGCGTACCGATGGACCGGTAGCACCGATACACTGGTCGATTTCTAAGTAAACTATTCGTAGGATTATTATAGTTAAGAACTGAAAGAAGATTTTTTCGTAAAAGAGTGTCTATTTTATAAAAGTAACGATTTCGTATAAAGTTTGTTCAAAATTTGTTGAGATCGAGGAATTCAAATCTATAGGTGGTTTCTCAAAATTTGTAAGTTTGCTTTTTTTTTGTCAAGGAAGGGCTATTTGCTACAATAACGTCATTGGATAAAACTTGATTAAATTCGAAGCTACCATCGTACATCCAGACCAGTGCATCGGCCCACCGTATACCGATGGGAGGGGGGGGAGGTGCAGCGGTGGTACGGTGAACCGATAGACGACGATCACTGTTGCATCCCTATTTTACATGTGCTCTCATTGTACGTTTATGCTTCATCCCGCAAACTGGAGAATATTATATACATTGAAGGAAGTATACTATTTTGTGCAGAATTTCAAAGCATTATCTTTTGATAAAAAAAGAATGTTTTATACAAATCAAGAATAGAAGAGAAATGTCGAAAATACAAAGAGTGTAACTCTTTATGAGCCATCTAGTAATAACTGGTAAAATTAAAAAAATAGTACATGACAATGTTGTCACAGGTTCTCACTCATAATAAAAGCTATGGACATCAAACTTTGTGATTATGCAATACTAAGCATGTGCAATAATATGGCAAAGTTTTCAAGAGCTTACTTTTGTTAAATGTGAGAACAATGAATTCTAAACTTATTTCAGAACTTCTGGGACACCCTTCATATGAGGATGTATTGTGTTTCAGAACTGTAGATGATGCATATTCTAGTTTATTATGTGTTCACATTCGAAAATCGACATATAGTCATCGAAATAAATCATGTGCAATTTCTTCATATTTATTCTAAATTTTAGGATAAATTTTCTGACAGCTACCCACAGTCATTAACTATACCATCCTTTCAGTGTTCTTCTCATTTTCTAGTGCTCCCAAGAAAATACTCACCTCCAAATAAGAAACTTGGAAAACTTCACCAAACAAATATACCGATTTTTTTCGAAATGTGCAGACACAATATACAAAGCAGAACAAACCGATCTCTCTTTTTTACGAGCGACACTGAGATTGTAACTGTTTACTTATATGTACGCATTTTATTTGACACTTTCAAGGCCAATCTTTAGAGTAATAACTGTATTTTTTGTCGTATTATTCATAGCTCAGTGGCAAACATCGAACGATTCATTCTCAAGAGAACATGTTTCAAACAAAAGAGAAGGTAA